AGCACAGAGCTGATGGCCGTCGGGCTGACCCCAAGGTAGAGATAGAGGGTTTCCCCTACCTTTGGTTTGGATAGCACAGGGGGTGAAGATAGATACCGTTTGAGCTCGTCGAAAGCCCCCTGGCATTCTGGAGTCCATAGAAAGCCAGCCGTCTTCCTCATGATCTGGAAGAAGGGTAGAGACTTCTCCGCCGATTTAGATAGAAAGCGGTTGAGGGCTGCCAGGCGGCCCGTCAACCGTTGAACTTCCTTCACATTGCGTGGGGGCTCCATGTTGATGATGGCCTGGATCTTCTCGGGGTTGGCCTCAATGCCCCTTCGGCTCACCATGTAGCCCAAGAATTTGCCCCCTTGGACGCCGAAGGTGCACTTCTTCGGGTTTAGCCGAAGGTTGAACTTCTGCATGATGGCGAAGATTTCCCGGAGGTCGTCAGCATGGCTGGAAGATTGTTTGCTCTTGACAATCACGTCGTCAACATAGGCCTCCATGGTGCGCCCTAGGACGGCTTGAAAGACCCGGGCCACCATCCGGGTGTAGGTGGCCCCCGAGTTCTTTAGGCCGAAGGCCATTACTAGGTAGCAGAAGATGCCCTCGGGAGTCATGAAGGCAGTTTTTTCGGCGTCTTCCTCGTGCATGAAAATTTGGTGATACCCTCGGAAGGCATCGAGGAAGGACATGATCTCACACCCTGCGGTCTCATACACCAGTTGATCAATATTTGGTAGAGGGAATGGATCCATAGGGCACGCCTTGTTGAGATCGGTGTAGTCCACGCACATGCGGAAGGTCGGGGGCTTCTGTGCGAGGACTACGTTGGCCAGCCATGAGGGGTATTTCACCTCTTTGATGTGCTTAATTGAGAGGAGCATGGCGACCTCCTTCTTCACAAATTCCTTCCTCTCGGCGGAGAGGGGTCTTCTTCGTTGTTGTACTGCTTTTGCCGAGGGGTCCACCGAGAGGCGGTGGGTGATGACCCTTCGGCTTATTCCCGGCATGTCCTCCGGCCCCCATGCAAAGACAGTGGAGTAGGCGCGGAGGGCGTCGGTGATACCAGTCTTCAGATCTTCAGGGAGCTGGGCTCCAATCTTCACGACTCTCTCCGGCTGGGCCGGATCGAGCGCAAAGTCTTCTACGTCCTCGGCTGGTTCAGCCCTCGGCCTTTTTTCTTCTTGGTCGATGGTTCCGGTGATGGTGTCAACACGGAATTCCGTCTTACTTACCTTCTTAGTGACTTGAAGATAGCATGCGCGGGCGATTTTCTGATTCCCCCAGGAGTAGCCAATGCCCCCCTCGGCGGGAAACTTGAGGCAGAGGTGCCTCATGGAGATGATGGCCTCGAGGTCCTCGAGGGCTGGCCGGCCGGCCGAGGATGATGTTGTGGGCGCAGTCGATGTTGACGAAGACGAACTCCACTTCGAGCTGGGCTCTATGAAGCCCGTCGCCGAAGATCACCGGGAGGGTTATTACCCCTTCGGAATCAATAGTATCGCCGGTGAAGCCGGCAAGAGGGGTCTTAATGGGCCGAAGGGACCCCCTCTCCAGATGCAGCTCTCTGAAGGTGCTGAGGTACATTACATTGACGGAGCTGCCCGTGTCAATGTAAGTTCGGTGAATGATGGTGTCGTTTATTTCAGTCTGAATCACCAAGGCATCCATGTGAGGAGAAGAAGTAGGAGGGAGATCTGCGTTGGTGAAGGTGATGGGTTCCTCCCTCAGTCGCTTTACCGGGAGCATATGAGTGACCTCCCCCACGTAAAGCGATTGAGCCCACTCCTTCCGCTGGCGGTGGAATCGCCCCCTGTATTGCCACCGGTGATCATGAGGATGTGGCGTTTTTTCTCCTGGTAGTGGGGGTACTCCTCCTCTTCCTCCTCCAAGTTTCCGATCTCCCTCTTCTTGCCGAGGGGGATGGTGTTCGGGTTCACCCAAGCGTTTACCTTCGTGTGGTGCCCTCGGGGAGGTCCCTGATGAGAAGGCCCCTCCTGCCGAGGGCTCTGGATAAATTGGGACAGGTGCCCCGCCTGTATCAATCTCTTGATGGCCGTCTTTAGCTGATGGCAGTCATCGGTTCTGTGCCCCTGGTGCCGATGGAAACGACAGTAGGGGAACTGAGGGTTGATAGCATGTACCTCCGGGGGCGCGCGAGAATCGTGCTCAACGAGGCCCCTCTCCTCGGCAAAATCGAGGATGATGCTGACGGGGTGCGTCAATGGTGTCCGAGGGCGGTCCAGGAGAATGGGCTGTGCCCAAGTCTTAGGGCTGCTCTTATAGCCTCCCCCGGGCTTGGCTTGGCCTTGCCGAGGGCGGTCATCAGAGGGTCCTGAAGATTTGGGGTGATTTGGAGGAGCCCCCGGACCTCGGTTGTTTTTGTTGTCAGCCCTCGGGGGCTGCTGATCCGGATGTTGGTGATATTTCTCCACCTCCTTGGCCTCAGCATATCGGTCCCCCCCGCTGCAAAGCCCTTATGTAGTCGCGGGGGGGTTCAATGATGAGGCTCCTTGAAAAGTTGCCGGTGCGGAGGACGGTTTGTATGAGGGCTAGGAGGGTCCCGTCATCAGCACCGTCGACTTTGTCGGCTTCCGTCCTCCAGCGCTCCAGGAAGTCCCGAAGGGTCTCATCCCTCTTCTGGCGTATGGTTAGGAGGTGGGAGAAGTGCTTCCTTGTGCGACGCCTCCCGGCAAATTGTGTCAAGAATCGCTGGGCGAGTTCTTGCCACGAATCAATGCAGCCCTCGGGCAACCGGTTGAACCATTCGTATGCCGGCCCCTCTAAGGTGGAGAGGAACCAACGACACAAATATTCGTCTGACGCCCCTACCATCATCATGCTGTTTTGATATTTGCTGTAATGTTCCTGGGGGTCCGTCTTCCCGTTATAGGGCTGTATGTGTTGCCCTCGGTATTTTTCCGGGATCCGGGCCGCCAGTACCCTTGGGGTAAATGGCGTCCGGGTCCGGAGCTAGATGACGGGTTCCCTGGAGCCCTCGGCCACCTTCTTCTGTAATTCCTCCATTTTGGCCATCATGGCCTCGTATTTGAGATCTGAATGAGGGGTGGAGGTGGTGGCGTGAGCTTTGTTGGCCTCCATTTCATCAAGCCGGCGTTGGAGGGCCGCAATAATTTCGTCCCGGGGATCCTTCGAGAGGGTCTCCGCCCCCTGCGAACGAACCCGGGCCGAGTGGGCCTGGTTGATCTGGTGGCGAGCATCATTGGCATGAAGGGGTGCCTTGCCTTTGTCCCGAGGGGGACGCTCCTCGTCTGCCCTTGAGACAGACCCTCCGCTTTCCTGGGGCCTTTGGAGTGCTTTCCCTCCGAGGCGGTCTTGGACCCCTCGGCGGTCTGGCCCTCCTCCGAGCCGGTTGAGGGCGGAAGTGCGGGGCCTTTCTCTGTTGTCATTGTGGCGGTCCCGGGACTGAACTTCCTGGGAGGACGTATCTTGGGCCACTACCCCTTCGTCGTTCCTAACCCGAGTGGTGGGGTTTCCGAAGGGGTGTGGCAGAGGGGGAAGTATGATGTTCTCCCCCACCTGGGGTTGAGCCGGAGCCAGGGTGCCGAAGGCACCCGGGTTCTGAGTGAGCGTTTGGATGAAGGCGGAGAGCGCCGATTGCACGTCGATGGTGAGAACTGGAGGGCTGACTTGGTCATCGCTCCGGTTTTTCTTCTTGGCCTCGATGCCGAGGCGGGCATCGGGGGCATTCTGTTGGATCTGAAGGCGTAGGTCGACAGCCACCTATTCCAGCCCAGCGATGACACCGTCCTCGGGAGCCCTGTGAGAGGCTTCAGAGGCGTTGACGTCGCCGAGGGCCAGGTTCTTGTCTTCCACATTTTTGGAGTTGGCACGTGTTGTTCTCACCATTTTTGGTAGAGGGCTAGTGTTTGGCGAAGGGGGGAGGGTTTCTTACTTGATTGTTCGACCTCTCAACGAGAGCACCAAATGATGGATAGTCTACCCGGGGGTAGCTTATCCGAGGGGTTATTGCTGAGAATAACTTAGAGAGAAGTCAGAGCACAAGTAAGTAAGAGAGAGAGTGTATTGAGTATGAATCTCCTCGTTACAAATGGGGAAATGGGGTGCTATTTATAGTGGCAATAAATGCCGGACAGGGACACGTGTCAAGCGCCCATTGGCCGAGAGGTCACCTCAACTAGTTGGCGTTGGCAGCCGCATGTGGCCGCATTTAATGCGGCTGTTGGATGGGACGTCTGTACAGGGTACGGTGATCTGTACGCATGTGAGGCGGATATCATGTCGGGAGGGGTGCCCTCGGCTGCAGAGGTCTAGCCGAGGGATCTTGGTGCCGAGGATCCCTGAGTGCCGAGGGCTCCAGATGCCGAGGGCTATTGTTTTCTGCCGTTTTTCTCCCAGTTTCTTGGTTTGCCTGGAAAACCCATTCTGTGAGAGTTTAGAGCCTTCGGCCGGGGGGCCGAAGGCACCCTTGGTGCGCTTTGCGGGCTGCTTGGTACTCTGGGCGCTGTGATTTGGGCCTGTTGGGCCTTTTGGGCTTGTTGGGCTTTCACTGGAGTAGTAGGAGTCTGTGGACCGGGTGTTCCCGGGCCATATACTCCATCAATAGTAAATGAATTTGATTGAGTGGAGGTTCTGCAGGAGGATTCGTATCACTGAAGAATTGGTTTCTTGGCTGCAGGGACGGAACATATGCTGGAAAAGATGATGAGTTTGTGCATCTCTGTTTTAATTAATAACAAAACGACACCGTTTGGGATCGGCACACCATGCACATGGTGGACCGATCCCACGATATAATTTGCGAGTGTAGGGAGGCTGCCGCTCCTCGAAAGAATCGATAACGGAGAAGAAAACCCTTCCGACACAAATTCACCCCAAAGAGAGGAAGTCTCAAACATAAGTGTTATTCCGTAGTTCACTTTTTGAGCTAATAATGTTGATAAGTTGAAAATAAGTAGTAGAAGTTATTATAAAGCTCTAAATACTCCGTAGTATAATTAAAATAAAAATCAATTAACTTTCCGGCTCACCAGCTGGTTTTTTGGGTGAAGATTCCAACAGGACCAAGACGACGCCGTTTTGGGCACCCTTTGCTTCCTTATTGCTAGGGACTGAAGCATCACCCAAGCACGAAGAAGGAAGAACCCTAACAACGCAAAAAGAAAAACCACGGACACCGACTGGCGATAAATTGGTACTCTAGGAAACTGTGTAGCTCAAACCACAATGTTTCACAGAGGGTAGGAACTATGAAGCTCTTCCTCCTCCATTTTCATCAAAGCTTTCATCTTCCACATATTTTTGTTTTTTATCCATTCAGTTTTTCTGATGTGCTTTTCGATCCGCGTATCTCTTTGATTTCAGTAATTTTATGATCTGATTGTAGTAATTACCGAACGGACTAAGTTCTAATATTGTAAATAGAGAAAGTAGAGTGCCAGCATCTGTTCTTTACGGTGTTTAAGGATGTTTTATTTTGTGGATGTATGAATAGGTATTGGACTCATATATAGAAAGATTACAGTAAGAATTACGGAGTGTATGCTAATAAGACCTCAAACTATTTGAACTAGCAAATAGATTAAATTCCAACTCCGGCAGAAATAGGGAAATCAAAATTCAACAGAGCGATATGCAAAAAATCCAAATTTGTTACATCAGAGAATTACATGCCGACGGACAACCTGAACTCTCAAATCAAAATTTACAGGAAACCTCAAAAGAATAAGAGGCGCCACAGTATGAAGACTAGATCCCAGTCTAGACTCTAGAGAATTTCCTTGGGTGTAATTTTAGGTTTTATTTTCTCTGTACGTTTTTGCTTTGTTTCTATTATTTCCTTTTCAGCCTGTATCGTTTACTATTTTCAATAAAATTCAATTTTCCAAAAAAAAAAATAGATTGAATTCCAATTTCTACATTAGTTTGGCCGAAGTGTCTTATGATCGAGTTGAGTGACCCCAACCCAATCTTGAATTTTATAGATAGATATACCCATTCTTTTACCAATTTTTCATTGCAATAGTTATGTTGAACAATAGAAACTCCTTTTCATTTGTTATTGTTAACAGTGAAGCTTCATTCTAAACTAATAGAAGGATTAACCAATATGGCGTCATGTTATATATTAGTTTGTTATTATGTTTAGCCAATGTAAGAAACATTCTTCCCTCTGTTATTTTGAGATTACTGCGTGCAATGTCATTAAAGTGTGTTGTTTATGATTGATATACACAGAAGATCGATGGATGGAGGTGATGCCCGAGAAATGGGTCTGAAAAGGCAGCGTGTGATGGATCAAAATTCCTCCTATTACTCAATTCCACCCATGTCAAGTTATATGTACAATCCAGCCCCTCCTCCTCCTGCTCTTGACTACCCTTATATTGGCCAGCCTCCTCCACCTCTCCCTATTGTCCGACTTCGAGGTCTCCCATTTGGTTGCACAGAGGTTGAGATAGCAGATTTCATGCATGGATTGGATGTAGTTGATGTGCTTTTGGTCCACAAGGGTAAAAGGTTCACAGGGGAAGCATATTGTGTTCTGGGGTACCCCCTTCAAGTTGATTTTGCTCTTTCAAGGAATAGGAAGAACATTGGGAAAAGATATGTTGAAGTTTTCAGAAGCAGCAAGGAGGAATATTATAGGGCTATAACTAACGAAGTATATGATGCTTCTTCTAGCAGTGATTTTGTAGCTCCAAGGGATAGATCTGGTGAGGATTTGGCAGATCATACTGGAGTTTTGAGGCTGAGGGGAATGCCATATTCAGCGAGCAAGGAAGCTGTTATTGAGTTCTTTAAGAATTTTTCACTTTCGGAAAAGTCAGTTGTTATGGTTGCTAATTCTGAGGGAAGGCCAACCGGAGAAGCGTTTGTGGAGTTTGCTAATGCAGAAGAGTCCAGAGCTGCAATGGCCAAGGATAGGATGAGAATTGGGACTCGCTATATTGAGCTTTTCCCTTCTTCTCATGAAGAGTTGGAGGAAACTGTCTCAAGGGGCAGGTCATTACTTTCTTCTTTTCTCACATTTATCTAAAAATAAACTGTTATTTGTCTCGTTGGCTTGTTATTTTTGAATTAATGCACTCCTCATTTCCCCTTGCACTAAAGGTCTGTTTGGAACACCGGAAAAATCTTTCTAGAAATCAGCCTAGCCACCTAGGTCTGCTGCTGCAGGCACTAGATGGTAGCCAAACACCCTGGTTTTACTCCAATTGGTCCGGAAACCATCAGCCTCCAAGTCAGGCTCCTAGACCCAACTAATCGTGTGTCTAAAACCGTTTATTTGTTTATTAATCATTTTATTTGAGCCTATAACCATAAATATGCACGTCGAGTAAGCTACTGGCAAACTTAAGCGACTACCATTCCTCATTTAACACACTTCTAGGTTATTAAGATCTAATACTTACCGCATAATTCAACTGAGTGATTATTTATAAGTTATTTCTGCATTTTATGATTCTATCATTCATACTTGTTGATATGTATGTACGATGTTTTGTTTTGCTTTGCTTTGTACGAAGTATTTCCTAAGGTGGACAAACATAAGAAAGTAACTTGCCATATCAATTGTTTTCCAGGAGAAAGATCAATTTGGACACTATAGTTTTAGGTAAAGTTCAAATAGTTTACTAAAGTTTCAAATGTACCAATTAAACAGAAAATCATTTTTTAATAATTTCTGGACACTCACTAACGGTGTTGAAATGAAAACAGTTTTCTATTCTATGTTTTTTCATGGGGTATCCCATGAAAAGCAAGCAATTTCAATAATGGTTGTTAGATTATGAGCTTCCGTAATTTCCCAGAATCAAACAATCGCTTTTAGGCGGGCGGCTTCCATCGTCTTTCAGTTTTCTTCTTTGAGATTCCATTTCTCAGCCATTTAAAGCAGATCTTGAAGCTTTTAGGGGAATATCCATAAAGAGGCAGAGGCAATTAGGTATGGTTGCAGCCTACACTAAAGTATAGAAAATAACAATGGAAACCGCACGGGTAGCTCAGTTGGTCGAGTGGTGGGAAAAATTGGACGTAGACCAAGGTTCGAATCCCGCAGCGGCCAAAAGGGGGTTTTCAGAACCTGAAATAAGGCTGGCCCTATGGTGCGCACGGGTAAAGACCTACTGCCGCTTTGCCGACTGAGTCACCGTGATTTACTCCCCCACCATCCTGTCGGGTCGGGGTGGGGGGGCCCTTGGGGTTGGGGATTCAACCTTTTGGACGTAGAAAATAACAATGGTGTAGGTTGAAACTTGACTGCTTAGAAGTGACCCATTTCATTTTCCTAGCTTGCTAGAGCCTCTTTGGTTGCACATGCCTGGATTTGTCATTCGACTTTGGTGGTTTGTAGAGTGGAATTCTTCTCTCCTTACGTAATCAAGCTTGAATTTTTTAATAAATGTAAATTAACTTTCGACGCTTAATTCAACTATACCTGAAAATTTTCAGTTTAAGTTAATGTTCATAGCAGACTTCTTTTCTTCAACTTCCTCTGGATTTTCACGGTTGTTTTTGGACACTAATTGGTCGGTGAGGTTTGCCTCATCAGTCCGCACTCCCCTTACCAATTTCTACCATCAGAACCGCTAGACACAGCTTATCTCACATTCTCACACTTTCATTAAGTTTAGCCTTGCATTTTTAAGATTAAATAAGCAGGCATGGGCTTTCACTTCTCCTAATGGCTTGGAGTGAATTGGAAGTCGTAATATACATCTGTTGAAGAAATAAAAGAAAAAGAAGAAATAAAAGAAAGAAGAAACAGAAAAAATTTAACAAATGCCGTTGAGTAGAAGTTACTTAATTGAAACATACACTAACTCTGATTTCTGAATGTTTCTTTTGGTCCAAAGAGAATGCTAATGTCCAAATTGAGATTCACATACACCTTCATCACCTTTCTCTCTTTATTTTCCTTTCCCTAGCATTTACTGGGATCTAAACGCACCCATAACTGGCCAAGTGGTCATAGCATTTGTTTCTCAAAAGAGACTCATATTCCGAACATCATTTCATTTTCTAGTGTTTGGATGAATATCAGAAAAGTGTCATGATAGAAGCAGAAAACCCTAGCTACCGATATTAACGTCTGCCCCAGCCTTAGGCTCAAACCAAATCTTTATTCTTGATAATGAATAATAATCCCCAAGACCTCCTTAAATACTCTAAACCTAATAATCCAAAAATAACTCAAATAGAAATAACATTTAATGAAATAAACTCCAGCAGTCAGCCCGGCCCAATTAGGCCCGGCAACGGTGACTGTAAACTAGTAACTGGCGAGGCCCGTCCTCCTGAAGCATTGGCCCAATTGCCTCCTCCTGAAGCCTCGGCCCATCTGCCTCCCACTCCCTAACAATTTTCTCCCCCTCTAAAACAACCTTGTCCCCAAGGTTGGAGTGAGGAAGCTGCTGCTGGAATTGCTGCACCATAATCCACGTCGCATCATCTTCGGACTGACCAACCCACTGCACCAACACCTGCTCCACATCTGGCCACAATAAAATGGCGGGTTCTTCTTCTATCACAACTGCCCAAAATTCCACGTTCCTTGTCCGAAGACCGAAGCAGGGCCTGTAGGCCCACCTGTTTCCGGCAGTGTGCCGGGTCTCCACGTAATACTAGCAGCCTGCGCTGACAGTCAAATGACATAGTCATTGTATCCCAGTTGGTCCGGACCTCTCCCAAGGATGCTAGCCATGCTACTCCCAGTATAACATCCACTCCTCCCAAAGGAAACACATAACAATCTGTCCGTACTTCGCACCCCGGTAGCGAGATCGACACCCCCTTGCAAATCCTTTCTGATTCTTGTCGAAGACCGTCCCCTAGCCGCTCACCAAACTTCCATGTCTTTTCTGCCTTTAATTTGAGTCATGGTACAAGGGCTGCTGAAATAATGTTGTGACTTGCACCACTATCCACCAAGATTGTCACTGTGATAGTGTGATCTCCTCAATTACGCTTGTGATCCCCTCAATTACGCCTCTGAGTCGCATAGTACGGGGACTAGAAATTCCCGCCATCGAATATACGGGTCCATAAACGATTCAATTTGGTTGAGGTCGAGTTCCTTATCTTCCTCAGCAACCATTACTCTTAACTGTTTTAGGGGTCATTCATGCCCGGGTGTATAGGGGTTCTTGCAATGGAAACAAAGTCCTTTTGCACATAGGTCTGCAAATTCCTGCGGTGAGAGGCGTGTGAACCGAGAGCCATTCACCGACTGGCCAGTCATGGCTGACCCGGACCCCGAGGTACTGGCTGGAGATCGCGAGGAAGCTGTGCTTCCCGCTGCCCCTTGGTTTCCAGTAACTGGCGTGGAAGAGAACCCCGAAAACCCGCCAACTTTGGTGTAATTACTGGAACGGTACTGCTGATTGTTGTAACCCCGTTCCGATCTCCCTCCGGACTGTACGGCCAAGTCGTCTTCGATATCTCTGGCCAACTCCATAGCAGCTTCCAAATCAGCCGGCCGTAGGAGCCGTAAGGAACTGCTAATGGTGTCCCGTAGCCCTTTCATAATGTACCCCAAGTAGTGGGCATCACTCAAACCTGGGACCTGACTGGCTAATTGCACGAACAAATTCACATAGTTATCCGTGGATCATGTCTGCTTAACGTCGGCCAACCGTTCGAACGTGCTCCCTTTGAACCGAGTATCAAAACAGGCTACAAGGGCTTGTGAAAACTCCTCCCAGGCGGCTATGTCTGGTTTCCGCGACTGTGTCCAAGCAAACCAATACGGAACAGGACCCTCTATTGCTACCATGGCCGACGCCACCTTCAACGCAGGTCGGGTCTGATGGATTTCAAATTGCTGATTGGCCCTGGCGAGCCATCCAATCGGGTCTGCCCCCTCAAATGCTGGTAGTGCGGTCACAGACCCTGGGTTGTCTAGTGTTTGGGTGATAGCATCCAACTTAGCGTTGGTGGATTGCACTTCCGCCCTGATTTTCTTCTGGTCCGCTTCTATCGCATCCATGTGTTGATCAATGGTGGAACGAGTCATGATGAACGTAGGGCGGTGGATAGGATCCGGCAGGTCGGACCAAATTGATAGAAGCAGAAAACCCTAGCAGATGATATTAATGTCTGCCCCAGCCCTAGGCTCAAACCAAATCTTTATTCTCGATAATGAATAATAATCCCTATGACCTCCTTAAATACTCTTAACCTAATAATCCAAAAATATCTCAAATAGAAATAACAATTAAATGAAATAAACTCTAGCAGTCAGCCCAGCCCATTTAGGCCTGGCAACAGCGACTGTAAACTAATAACTGGCGAGGCCCGTCCTCTTGAAGCATCGGCCCAGTTGCCTCCTCTTGAAGCCTCGGCCCATCTGCCTGCCACTCCCTAACAATTTCCTCCCCCTCTAAATCAACCTTGTCCCCAAGGTTGGAGTGAGGAAGCTGCTGCTGGAACTGCTTCACCCCAATCCACGTCGCATCATCTTCCGACTGACCAACCCACTGCACCAACACCTGCTCCACATCTGGCCACAATAAAGTGGTGGGTTCTTGTTCTATCACAACTGCCCAAAACTCCACGTTCCTGGTCTGAAGCAGGGCCTGTAGGCCCACCTGTTTCTGGCAGAGTGCCGGGTCTCCTCGTAATACTAGCGGCCTGCCCTGACAGTCAAATGACATAGTCATCGTATGCCAGTTGATCCGGACCTCTCCCAAGGATGCTAGCCATGCTACTCCCCGTCATCGTATCCCAGTGGGTTCCTTATGATGAGTATACTTGCATTGTTTCTTTTGCGTCCTTATCTATCATGAATATTACATTTTGGGAATACTATGTATTTGGAATTTAGTGCTTCTGTCATTAGTAGCCCTTTATCATTCCTTCCCTTATCATATTAATAGCCCATTAGCATTCCTTTCTCATCAAATTACTCATATCATTAGGAAAATGACTTGAAAAGAGATAGTTAGAATCCTCCATCAGATATTAAAGAGGGAATGATGAGTTAATAGGATCTTAGCTCACATATTGGATTTAGTGTTTTAGTGTGGCTTGGCCCAAGTGCCTTTTAACCTATTTGACTGATTGACTGACCCCTACTCTATCCTAATTGCCCTAATGATATCGAAACTGGTTTTGTTCCACATTGTTTGTCAAGTATCTGAACCTCTAGGATGTTTTCACTTGGACTGAAATTATTTCTGGTTTGGTATGGTAATGAACCTTTTTAAGTGTATTTTACTATGGTCCAAGACTTATATGGTCTGATTTGTTTCAGTCTGGTATAGTATGAGACTGAAACAAGTCCAATTGAAAGCATCTTTGCTCGGGTTGTCCTTTATGAACCCAGTCCCTAGCAGCCAGTAGCCCATTTAATCCAGTTGCTCTCCTGAAAGTCTAGCCCAAATGACCTGTAATTCTTTGAAGTGTTTTCCCTGTATTTGGAGTTTTACTTTGGGTGGGACAACAAACTGTTTTGCAAGTGACCAGTTAGGTGCAACACAATCTAGTTATCCACTTGCGTCGAATTAATCCCATGTTGGAAAGTTAAAAAAAGAATTTTGGGTTAATAAGATTCTTGGTTAGTTGGTTTGATCTGTCAAATCTATTGTGTTGCCCAAGTTCCTTGTGACACAATTGAGTGACTCTGACCTAATTTTTATTGACCCAATTTCATCAAAGATTTAATTAGGAAATACATAATAAATGACTACTGAATCTGCAATGTTTCCTAATTTGACATTCTTAATGTTATTTACATACTTCAGCGTTGGTTTAGGAATGACTTCTTTGAATAACCATTTATCTTAGCTTTTGGGGATGCCACTTTTTGATTTGAAGTGCTATAACTCTCTACTTTTCTGAAACCAGAATATTGGAGAAACCATCCGATGGGAAGGACCTAACAGAAATGACGGCTGTTGTTCGAATGAGGGGACTACCATATTCAGCTGAGAAGGATGATATTATTGATTTCTTCAAAGATTTTGTTTTGTCAGAAGATTCAATTCACATTACTCGTAATTTCGAAGGAAGACCAACGGGAGAAGCATTTGTAGAGTTTGCAAACCCTGAAGATGCAAAGGCGGCACTGGCAAAGGATAGGATGACGTTAGGGAGTCGTTATATAGAGCTTTTCCCATCCTCACCTGAGGATTTGAATGACTCAGTCTCGAGGAGAAGGTGAGGTAGATTTGTCTGCTGATATGAATGAGTCTCTCTTGAGGCGAGGTGATACAGATTTATGCTCTGTTTGTGACGTAGTTTTATGAATATTAGTTGATTTTGTTTCAGGGTTTTGCTGAAAACGAATTCTGTGATATGAGGTGTTAAAATGTTAATACCAGACAAAATAATGGCTTTTTAGGTTTGTATTTATATGTTATCAAGTGTTATGACATTTTGGTGGTATTCGTGTTTGGTGGGCGGTTGGTAAAGGTTTCTCTCCATATTTGGTTAATCGGATTGAATTTGTTGAATTTTTTGATAGGATTAGACATTAGTTTTTGGTAAAATTCTAGCCGTTACGGTTGTTCAATGATCTCCTTCGAGATCTCAACAGCAAAAAGCTCCAATCAGAAAAATTAAGGAAACAACAAAGTGCATAGAGTCTGTTAAGGGTCGTTTGGAATTGATTGTGCTTCGATTTCTTTCTTTTTTAAAACAGAAGCAGAATCAGACTCACTTTTTGAGAAGTTGATTCCTCCAAACTTGTATCTTTTCCAAACTTGTACTTTGCACAATATAATGAGCGTTTGATAATTCGGATTTTCAGCCTTATCATCTAATTTTTTTATCAAACTTGTAATTTTTGATTTCGTTCGTTGAATTGTGTAATAACCAGAATAAATAAGTTGAAATTACTTTCCTGACTAATTTTATTAATAAAATATATCTTAAATATAACTTTTTCATTTTTTTCAGCAAATAAAGCTTCAGATTATTATATTCCATCCTCACAAATTACAACAAAATCATGTTTTTTATTATTCACAATCAATACAATGGACTCCAAGAACAAGCGGCATATTTTACAAAATATGTAGAAGAAGAAAGAAGATGAGGTTGGACATTTATAGAGCAGATAAAGAATCAAACAAGGCGGGCAGGATCATGGGGCTTAGCGTAGGCGGTAGGCATCGGAGCAAAGCTTGGAGGTGGGGTCGACACGCCGAAGACTTGCGCACTGGTTCGGATATCTTGGCTGCCTCTGTCTCTTCCCAAAAAGTAACACCCAAACCCAGAGATATCACCACCACCATCCCCATCTCTCCCGGCTCACATCTCTGATTTCCTGATCCGGAATTTGTGGGAAAATATAATTTTTCAAAATTCAGTAGAATCATCAATTCAACCGCTATGACCAAAATGTTGAAGTATTTGTCCCACATTATATAAGGCTTTGGACTACTTCTCCTATCAGATTGACCTTTTAGGATGAAACCCCATGTCTAAACATGGTATCAGAGCCAATTATGGTTGTGGTTTGACTGCTTGTTTAGCACCCATGATTGCGGGTAGCTTGTTAAGGGTCAGTTTGGCCCATTTATATACATCTCAATATTGTCCAGCCCAATGCGGGCTGAGGGGGCGTGTTGAAGTATTTGTCCAACACCGGAAAGCTATAAAATAATAAACACTATATAAGGCTTTGGGCTACTCCTCATATCAGGTTGATCTTTTAGGATGCAACCCCAAGTCTAAACACAAAATGTCAATCAATTTCAACAAAATTTAGCCGATTAGCATAATTTCAATGTTACCCAATGAGTAATCGATAAAACTATGATCTCCCATTTCCCGTGCCCGTTCTATTTTTTCGCTTCAAGACAATTGCATAATTGCATTAGTTCCTTCAAAAGGTTGAATCCCCAACTCCAAGAGATGATGTAAATCACGGTGATTCAGTCATTCAATGTGTAGGGAATTTCCACCTTCGTTCTTGGAAGTTGCCAAGAGACACCTTAACATAGAATCACCTTCTAGGAAGGAGCTATCCAACAAATGAAAATGGTAAGAAGATATGGAGAACATGGAAGCACTACCTCTTGTCTCCAAACCAAGCCTATAAATAGAGTGTTCTATTGTTGTTCATATCATCAGTTTAGAAAGTGAGAAAAGTGTGTGAAGAGTGAAATACACTTAGTGTAGAAGTGTATTGATGAGGATTGGTTTTTTGTAATAGTTGAGTGTGAGAGTTTGCTCCTCCTATTGTAATTATGTTTTTGATATTGAATAGAAGAATTTTTCAATCCCAACAAGTGGTATCAGAGCGAGGTTGAGTTTCCATACACTTTTTTCTCATTTTTCAGAAAAATTTCTACAGGTTAGAAAATCGTGATTTTTTAAGTTGCTCGGAATCACGATCTGATCATACTGTTAGATTCATCTCATCGAGCGGAGAAATCTGGTATTTTGGGGAATTTTTTGGCCACCAGAAGAGTCCGTACGCTCCGCCCAAACGCCACCCGGAAACTGCCCGCGTCATCACTGCATCATCACGCAGGCCAGAGGAAGAAGACGAGACACGTCAACCGACACGTCATCGTCACGCCAGACCACGTCATCGCCACATCATGCTGAGTCATCGTCCACGTCATCCAAATAATCTGCCTCCCGCTGTCATGTCAGCGCAACGTCGGCGCCACGTCAACGTCAACGCAGAGCCAGCTGCTGCCACGTCATCTGCCTGCTGGTCTGCCCACTGGGCTGCTGCCTGAACCGGACCGAATCGGTTCATAGTTGTGGAGGCCGGTTCACCCGTTTTCAGACCGGTTTTGGACGAGGTAGGACTGGATCCTATCATTTTCGGCCATTCCGGATCCAACGGTGAGCTCCATTTGTCCAAATCCGGTTTCGAAAATAAGGTACGAGATATATTGAGCGTTTTATTATAGATAAATCATCGTCGGAGGCCATGATTGCGCTCACTTCCACAAACTACAATATGTGGAAGCCTCGGATGGAGGATTTGCTAAATTTGAGGGATTTAGCCGACCCTCTTGATAATAATGCCGTCAAAACGGATAAAAAGACGTATGATGTCACGCCCCGGACCTACCCGGACACGTCAACAACCCGCCATACAGTACGAATAATCAACCGCAGTCCAACTCATCCATAGTATACAAGGCGTCTTGAATACCATTCACACATAGTACATCCATAAACAAACATAATGTAAAACATTCATTTAAAACAGCGGAAGCATTTAATACAAGTGTCTATGCCACACTTTGGCAAACATGGGCATACAAGCCCCAAATAATTATTCAAAAAATAATATCCATGAGCATTATTATAATTGGTTTGAAAATCAGAAAACAGAAGAAGCACGAACCACGTCTTCTTCTCTTGATCCTCCCGGTGCAACGGGAGATGGTAGCAACCTTCACGTTCTACCTGAAACTGTGAGGTGGCCTCCCCCGTGAAGGGGAGGTCAGTACTTGGAAGCATTTGACAAGTACAATGACAACTATACCGAGTATAATCAACGCTTTATTTACTAAGACCCTCAAAATAGGGTGATATCATAATATAAATATTTATTTATATTTCACACTTATTATCTCTATAATAAGTAAATTCATTTGTTTGTCGGCACACGACCCTTCTTATATATTTCCTTGCATTTATCAATTGTACAATCCAACCCGTGGGTCTTATTATTTCTACGGGATTTGCTACCGCTGTCGGAGACCTCATGAGGCTCTCGGTTCGGATTTCAACATCCCGCCCCTGGACTCATACCCATCATCCCGTAGGAAGGTAAGACCCTTCGGGGTCCTATCTTATGTGTTACCGCTACCGGAGCCTAGTTTAGGTCTCCGATTCGGATTCCACCCTAACCCGTGATCACGATGCAAGTCCATGCTATCCAACCCCGCTCTCTAGAGTCGGGAAAGGGCCATGGTCCTTACTTATTCCCATAATTCAACCGGCTATCCTCAAGGACTACCAAACACGCCCGTAGGCCAATCCTATACCTAGGATCAATTTATTATTCAATTTATCTTGGGTATCCCTTAAGGCCTACCCCTAGTATAACTTAAGGTTCATACTTTCCTACCTTAAAGCATCTCTTAAGACTACTTAAGACATAATACTTCACAATCCAACCTTAGGATCAATTTTAACAAGATTTCATTTTAATGTCCAACTAGTATATCAATACTAGTCCAATTAATTCCAACAAAACAAGGTTCTCTATTCTTGGTCATTTAAAGAATGCCCCACTGATTTTCCATTGAAAATATCATCATTATATCAATATACCAAAATATCACTTTTAATCATTCATATATCCTTATATGAAATAAAAGTATATTTCAACATGCATTTCATAGTTAATTCCAATTTCAAGTCAACATACTCATAACACATGATCATACATAATTTATTCTTAAATTTGCATATCATGCTCTTTTTCTCATAGACAATAATCTTCTCATTTTTAGGCATTATTAATCATTAATAATCCATAAAAACACATTTAATTACCTTAGGTAATCTCATGAAATTAACTCACTAATTATAAGCAACATAGTCAGCCATCCTCACCTTATGGAGTGCTGAAATAGTTGCCCTTGCTAAGCCCTTCGATCAATCCCCTTTCTAAATCGATAAGAAGATAAAACTGGACTGCCTAGACAAAAACCGGGCGGCTTTCACCAAAGTCGGGCGGTGTTCGTCAGTCTTCAATTTCGAGCAGCTCCTTTTAAGTGGCGGTTTCCGGCGATTTCGACTCCTATCGATTCACCAACTATACTAAGTTAATTACCACGAATTTGTATCAATATTCTACACTTTTAAACGTGTAGAACTTGTGGTTTAATTCACCAAATGATCTCTTAAAAAATCATACCCCAAAGAATTAGTTAAAAGAATAATTATGGAGTTCTTACCTTGACTCAAGCTTTACTCCTCGTATTTTCTAGCTCTTTTCTTCCTCTGAGGTTGATGTTTGTGAGAGTTATCCTAGAGCTCTCCCTCCCTCTTCTTTTGGCCGAGTAGTTGCAAAGGATGGAGGAAATATCTCAATGCAATCAATCCAAAAATGATATAGAGGATGGGGTCATGGGTGTATTTTCTTGTCCTTAGGAGGCTTCCTCCTCTTTAGATTCGCACAACCCATCTCCTCTTGTCCCTTCCAGCTTTCAATTGATCAATTAGAGCACAAAAAACGTGGGGTGGCCCCCACTCGTGTGGGAGGTCATCCCATTATGCCCCGGTGTGTACAACCGGCCCTGAAAGTTGTATTTCTCAGACTGTTTAATTATATTTTATTTTATCGGGGCAAATAAAATATATCACACGTTCCTAATAGTTATAGGCCTTTAGAATATATGTACATTCCCCAACATTAATTTAGGAGTCTCCGAAATTCATTTCGGGCTGTTATCCGCTAAATTACCAATACCGGTAATTGGGCCTCGTTTGACCAACCGGTCAACTCCATGCCCTTCCCATGGCCCAACTAAAA